AGATGGAAGAGTATAATTTAAAACTAATTAAACAGTGAAATTTAGTGACAATAGATATAGTTAAATAAATAATTGATAATAATTGATAATGATAACAATGTATACAATGTGTAGTGTTATGATAAGTAATAATTGGATATGAATATTGAATGGTACCCATGAAAGGAAGATTAGAAATCCTTTTGGATTATATAAAAAGGTTAATAAAAAAGAACTAAGTTAGATTCAGTTAAGTCTTGATTATTAGGGGGAAAATGTTATGACACAGGATATAGTCAAACAAAGGAGGGATAATGATAATAACATGTATGTATGTATGTATGTATGTATGTATGTATGTATGTATGTATGTGTGCAACATAAGGAAATTGGATACAAATTGTAAACAGTGATTTGGAAAGGAGGGTTAGAAAATTTTGTTACTAAATATTATGGATGTTTAACTAGAATAGGACATAAGGATTCAGTGTTATTAGAGGATTTTAGAAATAGTAAATGAAATGCCAGTATGTGGTTATGTATTAAATTTTGGTATATTTTATGATGAAGGACGTTTAAACAATTATAATCAAATGAAAATGGAGGTATGATGATGGTAACATGTATAAATATGAGTTAAAATACTTGAATTAATATGAATTATGCTTGATGACTGTGGAACAGATGCACGAAAGCTTTTTGTAACCAACTGATAACTTTCTACAGTATGTAAAGAGGGAAGATTTCATGTGTTGTATTTGTTTTGAAAATTAAAAATAAAAAAATTATTAAAAAAGGAATAAACATGGTTTGTATTACTAATTGTCCTCAAGCATATTATTTATTTATGAATTCATTCAATTTATATGGCTGCCCATCTGACATGCATGAGTTTGGGTGGCACACAACTTTAAATAAAAAGTGCAATTGCTAAAATAAGAAAAAATAAAAATAAAATGAGAGCTACTTTAGTGTAATGGTTGGACCATCAGTTAGAAAACAGGAGAAGGTGCATTTTAGTCCTATCTTAGGCACAAAGCTAGGTGGGTGGTATTGGGCTAGTCACTCTCCCTTAAGGCTAGGAAAGAGGCAATGGTAAACCACTTCTGAAATCTTGCCAAAAAACATAAAACAGCAATGAGGGTGGGGGCCATCCTAATCTTACAAAAGATGATGTTCCAGATGGCAGATGCAGTGGCAAAAAAGGCACTTTTTCAGGGCCCTGCTAAGCATGCACCTTTTGGCCAATAGTGCTGAGAATGTGCGTCCTGTTGGATTAGATTGAAACCATTAGATTGAAATGGTGAGATGGTCATATAAGGCTTGATAACTACCAGCATCTTGAATTGAACCCAGAAACAAACTGGTAACCAATGCACATCCCAGAGCAATGATGTCATATGTGCCAACTAACTGGCACCATTAACTGCTTTCACTGCTATATTCTGCCCAAGGTTGGAGTCTACAAAGAAATTATGATTTCAGAATTTTTTCCTTGTAGTGCTTCTAGTTTGCAGTATTTGCCTCTTATTTTCTGGCTGAGCTAAAATTGTTTCAAGCCTTAAACAGTTTAGGACTCATTGAAGGAACTGTCTGTCTGTTTATAGGAACTAGTTCACCTAAGGCCCATTGGGAAATTTGTTCTATATTGCTCCTAAATTATGGAATTAATTTTTGAATTAATTTTTGAATTATTTTTTTCCAAAATTGCAACTGGTGTCTATTCTTTTAGATTAATAAAAAGTATGAATAAGTTTTATTCGGTTGATATTTTCTAATATTACTTATTTGCTTATTTCCAGTATTTTATTCAATTAAGGTTCTATGCTTTTGTTTTTTAATAACATTGCAATGCATATTTTTATAAATTCTAGTAACAAAGCATTCATTTAATTAAGTATAACTATATCAAGGAAATTCCCAATAGTTTCTTTTTCTATTCGGCAGGTAAACTTGTTAACATAGATACAAATTCTTTAAGGTCTATGAGGCCGGGATTTGAAGATACAATCCGCCGTTGCATTCAGAGATTTTTATGCCAAAATGAAGGTCAGCCCTGGTCAAACAAGCGGCACTATCAAGAAGGTAAAATCTGGAACTTGAAAACTGTTGAGGGATTAATTTTAAAAATAAAGGGGAATATTTATTTTTAGGACCAATTTGAAACAAATACAGTGAATCGTTGTCTTGGAAGTTTTAATTGGAGCATCCATTTTCATATAAAAATAATGTATCAAATGATGTCCAATTATATAAAGTATGACAGAAATAAGCCTTTCTTTTACTCTTAATAGCAATAGCAGTTAGATTTATATACTGCTTCACAGTGCTTTACAGCCCTCTCTAAGCGGTTTACAGAGTCAGCCCCCAAACAATCTGGCTCCTCCTTTTACCAACTTCAGAAGGATGGAAGGCCGAGTCAACCTTGAGTCTGATGAGATTCGAACTGCCAAATTTCAGGCAGTTGGCAGGCAGCAGAAGTAACTGCAGTACTGCACTCTAACCACTGCGCCACCTTGGTTCTTAAGAGGATGAGACACCTAGTTTAAGACACCTTTTTAGATTTTGCTTGCTATTTTGCTGCCACTGAATTTCCTCACTGCTGTGAGGTGATACTTTGTTTTCATAAAACGGTTGCTGGGAGGTGGCATATTGAAATAGTTCCTGCTTGTTTTAATAAAATCCTGACCCCTCCAATTCGGAGTCTCTATTTCTTCAGGTAATGATTATTACAATGAAACCTGGGCAAAATAGAATTAGCTCTATTGCCTTTTGACATACATTGCCATTTCCTCCCACAATGTACAAATTCACACGCAGAAGCTATGTAGATTTGTTGCTGTTGCTGTCTTTCATGTGTATGCATTTTAGGCAAAAGTTAGACACCAAACTTGATCTTTTAAAATGTGTATCTTACTTTGCAAGTCACCATTGGTGTAACATGAAATATAAACAGGAAGGTGCTCTTCTAATAAAAATCTGTTTTTCCTAAACAGCTTACATGCAAGGCATTGCTGAAACTCCACTCTACCGGTTCTCTTTAGCTGACGGAACAATAGTGACAGCACAAACAAAAAGTAAATTATTCCGAAATCCAGTTACCAACGACCGTCATGGATTTATCTCTACCCACTTTCTTCAAAGGTAAAATTACAATTACATTTTAGGATTTCCAAAGCGTAAGCCTTTATTAAATGCTTATTTGAGTAAAATTTGAGATATTAACATTGGTATGACATGTTTGTATAGTCTGGTAACTATTTCAGATTCACGTAATGGTTTTCATGAAATAAGACTAGTTTTCCGTTTTGTAAGACAGAACAGGAGAACAAGTTTACCAGATAAATCATGCTAGAGAATTCACCGTTTCTTTTTAACATATTCCCTGAATAGCAAAAAATGAGATAGTTATCTTATTTCAGAATACAGCTCATGATTACTTTCATGCAGGTGATTTTTATTGAAAATTTCTACCTCCGACATATACTTTTGGCTGTAACCTAGTAGATAGTTCAGCAATATGAATAGGTAACCAACTAAGTTTGTTCATATCTTGTGATTTTAAAAAGTAACAGCTGAATTTATGGGAAATAGTTTCGCTCCATGGCAAAATAAATACAGTTACTTATTATTTTCCCAAGGAATTATTATTTTTTGTTATGGTTTTGCTTAAAGATAATAAAATGGTAGTCCTATGTGTTATTTAAATGAGCATAAATGTTGGGGCTTCTGCAGTATCTGAGGCTCAGTTGAGCTAATCTCAAGAGGAAAGGAATGAAGAAGAAAAGGTGTTTACTTTTCTTCCTTAACCATTTTTTGGAAACAGAACTCCCTGAAATTACTGGCTTGGGTGATATGTCTTTTGTGGCATAGAGTATGATCAGGGTTTGGTTTTAGTGGAACTAATTAAAGTGACACAGCATAGTTTAGAGTTTGTGTGTGGGGGGGGAAAAGGGTGACAAAGACTCTTCCATAATAGTTCCCAAAGTATATGTTTTATGGTGCAAGAGATTGCTATAGTTTGGCAATATTTTTCTCTTATAGGTGAGGAACAATAGCAAGAAACTGCTTAGAAAACTGCCTAATCATTTCTTTCTTAGTTTTTGGAGCCTGACAGATATCACCAATGCATTTAAATAGGTTATAGGTAGTTCTTGGGTAACAAGGGCAATTGGGATTGGAATTTCCATCACTTAGTGATGCAGTCATACAGTATTAGATCATATGTCTGCATTGCTTAGTGAGGGCAATCCTGGCCGACCCGGCTGTTGTTGTAATCTGAGGACTACATGGCTCATTAGGTGAATCCTCATATGACTGTGACCGGGAAAGAGGGGGAAACCCAGACAAGCAGATTGGCAAGTAAGACTAACAGGAGGGCACAGGCATTGAAACCCAATGAGGCAGGCAGGTGCTAGAGAGAATGGGCAGTAGATCTTTCTCCACTAAAAATAATTAATCACATTAATGATTTATTAGTTGCAATTAGTTTTTTTACTGAATTAATACCAGAGTATGTGTCCTTTTCTGTTATACTTGCTTAACAATTGTTTTAATTAAACAGATTAAACAATAAATAATGCTGAAAAACAATCCATTATCTTTTGCACCAAGTAGTAACTACTAACCATAACAACCTTTCCCCTGACGGCAGGGTCATTCTAATCACACCAGAACCCCTTCCCACAACATTGCAATAATTATCATCATTTAATCAATTTTCATTTTTAAAAAGGACAGGAAAGCAGCTGGTCAATTTTGGGGAGTTACGCCATGATTTTTCAAACCTTTTTTTCTTTTATTAATCTTGAGATATTGATTATATTGTTTGTAGGTCTATTTTTCTTCTGTGGGTTTAATGTAACACGATTAAAAAGTGGATTTGGAGCCTGATTTTATTGTATTCCTTTGTTCAACTTTTCAGAGAACAAAATGGATATCGACCAAACCCCAATACAATGGGACAGAACATAAGAGCTTCTACAACTATGAACACTAATTCATGTAGTGGTGTTATGAACATGATGCCTGGACAAAATGTACCTCTTCAAAACAGGAACTATGCCATGGGAGATCCTAACATCATGGGACAGATGAGTGGTGCTAGGTATGGAGGTCCAGGAAATATGGGATCAATGAACTCTGGGCAAGGAATGCAGCCTTTTCCTTACCAAAATAATTATGGATTAAATATCAATAGCCCACCACCACATGGCAGCCCAAGCTTGAATGCCAGTCAACCGAATATAATGATATCACCTAGGAATCGTGGGAGTCCAAAAGTGAATTCACACCAGTTTTCTCCTGTACCAGGTAAAGGTGGCTTTCTAAATAATATTTCATTTTAATATAAAATGTCCATTTATTTACTGAAGATTACTTTTTTTAATTTCAATTAATAACCTGGTCTTTAAAGATGAAATATATTGAAACATAAACCTTAAGTTAATTTAATCAAATTAATTATATCATTATTCTGTTGTGAGAAACATCGCATGGAAAATAGTTCCGCTTTGTTTTCATTTTTCCTGAGACATTTTCAATATTTATGAATTATTCTTTTTTTATTAAACTATGAACTATTTTTATAGGGGTACATTCTCCAATGGGACCGGTCAGCAATTCAAGCAGCAACAACTTTTCAAGCAGCTCCCTTAGTGCTCTTCAAGCCATTAGTGAGGGAGTTGGAACAACCCTGCTATCCACACTTTCTTCACCGGGTCCTAAACTGGACAGTTCTCCAAATATGAATGCTCCTCCACAAAGCAAAATGGGGAGCCAGGATTCCAAAAGCCCCCCCGGCGTGTTTTGTGAACAGAATCAAGTGGAGAGCTCTATGTGCCAGTCAAACAGCAGGGACTCAAATAGTAATAAAGACAGCAAAGAGGAGAGCCTTGAAGGTGCTGATCAGAGGGGACCAGCTGAAAGCAAAGGACATAAGAAGCTTCTTCAATTGCTAACTTGTTCCTCGGAGGAGAGAGGACACCCAACTCTTTCAAATTCACCCTTGGACTCCAGCTGCAAAGAATCTCCTAACAATGCTACAAGTCCTTCATCTGGTGTTTCATCTTCTACATCCGGAGGAGTTTCTTCATCAAATATGCAAGAGAAGCATAAGATTTTACATAAGTTGCTCCGAAATGGTAATTCTCCAGCAGAAGTAGCAAAAATCACAGCTGAAGCTACTGGTAAAGATCCATTTCATGATACTAACACCGTTTCCTGTGGAGGAGAAGTGAAACAGGAACAAATGAGTCCTAAAAAGAAAGAGAATCATGCCCTGCTTAGATACTTGCTTGATAAGGATGATGGAAAAGAACCACTTTTAAAAGACATTAAACCTAAAATTGAGACTCTGGATACCAAGATGGGACAGTGTTGTAGTTCGGCCATATCTACATCAAGTAATGAAAAGGAGATGAAAATAAAAACAGAACCCACAGAAGAGGTAAAGTATAAGTATTCAAGTGTTAAGCAGAATGTCCATTAAAAGAATATTTACTCTTAGTTTCATTCCACAAACTTATTTGACATCTGGTTAAAAATTCCAACAGTCCATAAACAAGTAAAACTCCAGAAGGAGTTGTCTTACATTGTTCTTAACTTAGTTATATAATAGCAATTGCCTTTTTTAAAACAAGATTTTTACATGACTAGTTCCAGGTGAGACCAATTCTGAACAGCCATTCCTTTCTATAGTAGAAAAGCTGGAATACCTCTTTTAAGTAGATTCCACCTATGAATTAAAGACTTAGAAATAGTTAATATTTTAAAAGATTGAATATTTTAATACATATTTTAAAATTATTCCATTAGGTTAAATAAATGAAAGGATGAACTACTAAGCAATCACTTTCTTTTTTCTAAGTTATCCTTTAAATGGGTTATGTGCATGGGCTTACTGAATAGTTTTTTTATTCTTCCTAGACAAAAATATACTTTGTTGCCCATTTGTTTTTGTTGATTTTAAATGCAAAGTCTCAGAGGCATCTGTTTTGTGTCCATATTAGCTTATAAAACCCGTTCTAGAAATTTCAAAAACTAAATTCATTATTTGAAATGTTTTGCAGATAAGTGGCAATTTGGTGGATAATTTAGATGCCATTTTGGGTGATCTAAATAGTTCAGATTTTTGCCATAATCCTATACCTACAAATGGAGTTAGTATGGGAAATAAACTACCTCTATGCCAAGGAAATACACCAATGGGTAAGGAATTACTTGTGCTCTGATTTTATTTCACAAAACAGTTTATGTTTATAAATCAATAAAATTGATACAGTAGATCATTTTTATTGTTAGGTTTTTACCATTTTTTTTTAGATATATTAGATTGTATTTTCTGGACTTCTATAGAATTGTGGCTGAAGAAGATACAGTTAATACAAAATGTACAGATAAAAAGAAATATATTAATTTAATTTTACATTAGAATATAATATTTTTCTGGAGCATTTCACTATATTTCTTTACTAATTTCTTTAATAATAATAATTGAAAACACATACAGATAATATTTTTACAGATGATGCATTTACAATTCTATTTTAATTTTTAATAGGTGTCAGAAGTCCCCAGTCTAGGCAGATTGCCCGCCCTCCTTTCAACAGAGCCATATCTTTAGATAGTCCTATATCGGTGGATTCTGTCTCATCAGTGAGAAATGCTAGTTCGTATTCATTGTTACAGAAGCAAACCATGATGGCTGAGAGACCAAGAATGATTGAAAATCAAGAAAATTTTGGAGCCAATATGGGTTTGTTTGCAATTCCCTTTTTTCCCTTTAATTAGGACCCCAAAATGTTAATAAATCATATTTGTATGATCAAAAGATGATTTGCAATCCTCCAACAAACAAGTATTGTTAAACAGTAGGTTGGTCTGGTTTGCAAATTTGAAGGTTGAAATCACAAACGATTGACATGACTGGTCTATACTTTAGTGCCTAGAACAGTGATGATGAAGCTTTTTGGCACAGAGTGCCGAAACTGGAGTGCGAGTGCGCTGGAACCCGGAAGAGAAGCTGGCTGGTGTGCATGTGCACGGCGGCCAGCTGCTCTTCCGGGTTTCGTCACATGCATGTGCACTGGCCAGCTGCTTTCTTTTGTGTTCCAATGCTTCAGCATGCGCGCTCCAGTTTCAGCACTTGGTGCTGAAGACCAGCTGGCCAGCGTGCATGCACGTGCCAGAACCCGGAAGAGCAGCTGGCAACGGCGTGCCCACCCACAGAGAGAGCTCTGCGTGCCACCTCTGGCACGCATGCCATAGGTTCACCATCATGGGCCTAGAACATTTGATGCATAGATGCAGAGTGGATAAAAAAGTGAAATAGAAAATCAGTTCTGAAAGATGGATTCCATAAGTTTGAAGCTCTCATGTTGCATTTTAAAGAATTACAACCATGAATCATAGTTATTTGAAATGCCATCCCCACTTTAAAAAGTTTGGCTTTTCTGGAGGAAATCTCTGCATATCTCACAAAATGTTTCCTGACTTTAATATGTTGTTACCGGTAGTACAGTTGGAATCCAGAGGCAGAAAAGCCATTGTGTAGTCGTTCCCAAATCTGAGTTTTCAGTAAATTGTAGTTCCAGCATATACCAGGTTGGGTGGGTGGGAAATACCTTTATATGTGCAATTCTTTCAGTTTTGACCTAGAATTATAATCCGAATGTGAGGAACAGCAGAAATGCCTGTTAAAATTAAGTGAAATGTATTCCATATTTTTCAGTAACAAAAGGAAAATGCTTTAAATATGTTCGTTCTTCCAGGGATGTGTAACAGAAATCTTTCAGTGAATCAGCATTCGGCAAGTGATTGGAGTCTACAAAATTCAAAACTGAACAGGATGGAGCCTACAGCTTCTGGTTCAATGGCAAGGGCTGGGTCAGACTGCAGCGCTTCTCTTGCTCGGTCTTCCATGGGAGGATCTATGCCTGGGTTGCCCATGAGGTCAAATAGTATTCCCGGCACCAGATCAATGCTCCAACAGGAAATGATCCATATGAGTGAGTGATTACAATTGTTATTTACTGAAACTGTAGTATTTTAGACCTTGGGCACGGCCTTAAGCCCCCTTCTTTTTCTTCCCTTTCATATTTTTCCCAGCTATTAATTGTACATATTTTTATACTTTACTATGGACTTTATTACTCATTTCTGTTTGGATAAGACTTTGAGACTTGTTATGATTTAGATCTAAATCAATTTGTGCATGAAACATGCTGTCATAATAATCAACCTTGCACTGTTCCATGTTCAAAGGAATATAGCTTCAATTATTTATTAATCACTATAGCGCTATTTTTAACATTGAAAAATTGCCGTTCAATGCTTGTTGCTTCTGCAAATGAAAAAAATGTGTATTTTGTTTCCTTTTTTAATAGGGTCAAATGAGATTAATGTAGGAATGGGAGGAAATCCTTATGCACATCCAGGACCATCTAATCAGCCAAATGTATGGCCTGACAGCATAGTCTCCATGGAACAAGCAGCTCAAGGTTTGCAAGACAGGTAATAATTACTAGTTAGCTGATTATTTTATTGTTTGGTCACAGTCAAATAAGAAAAATATTTTGGTCAAACCAGAAAACATAAACTATTGCTTGTATGTTCCATTAATTTCAGATTGACTTTGACTATAATCACCTCTTCTGCATCATTGTTTGGAGTTTTAACCATCCTATGAAAGGCTGTCTGTGAAGTCTAATTAATATTATTAATATTATTTGCTCATTGGCTGGATTGTATTCTCTTTACTATATCTTTACTGAGTATGAAAATAGTACCATTCTTTCATTGTATTTTTGGTTCTGGGTAGAAAACAGTATGATTTTCTGATGGAAAATATCCTGTTCCAGTTCATTTCAATTTGCCAATACCTAAGATGCCAGTGTTTAATTGACTGATGTCTAATTGGGTGGTTAATTTCATGCTTCACCTGGCTGAGTTTTCCCATATTCATTCATTTTTAATCTTTCATGTTCCACATGCAATTCTGTCTTTGCCACTTCGGATTTTCTTTCCTGTATGTTAATACCAGCAACTAGATATCTAGAAAGCTTTTATCTAGTCTCATCATACACAAATGTAGTACTCTAAAAGATTCTCAGCTTTCCCTCTATAGTGCCATCTGAGCTGAGGGATCCATTATCTGATCCTATATGGTCAATCGTTTTATCTTATATATCCATCTAGTTTTCTTGGTAAAATGGGTTGGGGCCAGGTTATTATAAGGACTGCGTCTCCCCAGTTACATCTACCTTGCTCATTGAAGCCAGAAAGCCAGGTATGTTGTATCCTGTCAGGGTAGTAGATCTAGTAGGAACCAGAAGAAGGGCCTTCTCTGTGGTGGCTCCCTCCTTCTAAAATATCATTCTCTCCAAGATAAATTATCCCCCCCCCACCATTTTCCAAAAAGCTCTGCAGATATGGTTCTTTCAGTGGGCCTAAGGTCCACAGATTGCCATGGAGCTGATCAAGTGGCTGGTATAATTGTGCTTGCTGTCACTTCAGGAGTGGGTTAGAAGAGCGGCTTAGAAGATAGAATAGAATAGAATTCTTTATTGGCCAAGTGTGATTGGACACACAAGGAATTTATCTTTGGTGCATATGTTCTCAGTGTACATAAAAAAACAAGATATATAAAAAATGAAAGATATAAAATATTTTTATATTGCAGAATTTTAATGTAAGCCTCCCATATATGAGATAGGAAACCAAATAAATGTTTTTAATAAATAAATAAAATACAGAAATGGTTTATCCTTGTTTTCTTTCGCTTTCATCTCCCATATCTTCCAGAAGTCCCCCCTCCCCATCTCTCATGAAACAGCATAGCAGAACTTAGGGCAACTGGCTAGCTAACAAGAATTAGAAGGATCAGATAGGAAGGAAAATGTTTGAAAGTATAGGGCAGAGAAGAATATATTATTTTCTTTTG